TATGTTTTGTTTACTTTAATTTTTATATGTCTGCAGGTTGTATGTTCATATTCTAACTCAGGAAAATAAACACTATATMATTTTCTATATCTTCTACTATTGTAAGTTTTTATAATATAACTACCATACCTGGCAATATTAGCAATTCAGTCTCTGAGTTATTTCAGGATTGGTTTTTGGTTTTGTTTGTTTGGAGTTTTTTTAAGTTAGCATACCTCATGAGGATGCAAYTGAGATTTCAGATTTATTAATGGAACACTAATGGTCTTCACAATCCTTTTAGGAGGAAAAAAATATTCTTTCTTTTTGGAACAAGYGAATATTGATCATATTGCTGGAGTGACTCCATGGGGGAATACAAGTACAACAAAAGATCAAAGTATGTATCCTGAATTCCTAATACACTGAGAAGTGGCTGTGCAATTAATGCATGTGTAAATCAAGACACGTCAGGTGATTTTACAGTCTAGGTGAAATCCCAGCCCTTCTAGCTAGAACATAACATGACATTTTATATTGCTTCAATGGAACACATGTCAATAAAAATAAAGTTTACTGTCAGCTTTACAAACTAAGTTATTAGAATTTTGTCCTATAACCTGGAGAGCACCATAAATGAGAGAACTTAGCAACTCATGATTAGAAAGTCACTCCCTTTCCTTCTAGGAGTTCAGCAATTGTGTAGGAATTTGGAATGAGGCACTGGAGGTTARTGTGCAAAAATAAGAGGGAGGCTGTGAACACCTCAACTATTATGCTTTAGTTTGACACAGAGCCACTCTCTCAACCATCAGTAGTTCCTCTTCAAAGGCACACTAGAACCAGACTGCCCTCTATACCTCTGCTTCACATTTCTCCTGTCCATCAGAATCATACTTCTCTTCCAGCCATTGCTCATACTCCTTCTATTTCTGGCTTTTCAATGCTCTCCCCCATTCCAGGTTCTCCTGGGCACATCTCAAACCCCTGCAAATACAGAATCAGCACTCACGTGCTGATTCATGTTCTGTCTCATTTTTTTCTCCTCCAGTCTACTTCATAAGGCTGGCTTATTACAGACACTGARTCTTCTGATTTCTGAACCTCTAGACTACATCTGATTATTCCTTTCAAGTTTTTCTTAGAAGTGTATGAAAAATAAGTTTGTTTGTTGCTTTTTTTTTTAATCAAGGCTGAGATTTCAACATAGCCAAAAATTTCAGAAGCCATTTTCAGAAAAAACTTTCAACAAAATTTTCATTATTCTTATCTTGACTCACAGCCACTGTATATTTCCTTTCTCAATCCTTTCTTTTTTTCCATCCCCAAGGAACCTGACACAGGGTGTTAGTGGAAATGTAGGGAAAGAAATTGTCAAGTCCTGCAAAAATGGTCATGGCAATAAGATAGCATAATGGGAATCATGGAAACTTCAAGCTGTATTTTTATTTTAAAAGGAGATTAAATGCAGATCTCCCCTGAGGGTCTCATACTACTCCATTTGGGCTTCAGCACAATTAATGTTTCAATTATTATCTGAACATGCTGTTCCACAAGACAGACTGARCCAATCTAAAAGCTTACTGCCCCTCAAGGAAATGTTCTGTCCCACCTCCTCCCTGTCCATTTACTCCCAGTGCTTACTTCCCAAATGGCAGTTGTCCTCCACAGTGGGAAAATTCAGYTCCCTGAACAGCTCAACCACCAGCAGTATCCCAGGGAAATGAAATTTAAAAAAAAAAAAGAGAGAAAAAGAAAATTTATACTTCAGACAAGACTATCAGTCTCAGCAAAGAGCTGGGACTGGAACCATGTGGAGCAATGTGGGAGAGATGAAAACACAACAAGCCAAACCACAGCTGAATAGCTGGGACCACCCAGAACACCACTGTTTGCTCTGTCAGATTTTTTTTTTTTTTGAGGGATCAGCTCCTTACTCTGATTTGTTTTGTTGCAGGGATAAATGGCTGATAACAGGAGAGCCACGGGTATACAACTAGAAATAAACACAGAGGCTGAAAAAGAGCAAGCCCCAAGTATGATTTATTTTCCCTATCTCAAGGCAAGAATCACCTCTTGCCTCACCCCCAGTCCTGGGTGCATGCACGGTGCTATAATATTGCTTTCTTCACCTGATACCACCTCTGTTCCTGTAAGCATGGAAGCTATGGCTCCATAAACATGAACCAGTTGCAAAATTAAAGACAAAATATTTGCAAATTTATTTTATTTAAATTCTGTCCATTTCAATAGCATCTATGAAATATCTGCAGCAGCTGGGCTAAGAGAAGTGTKAAAACTTCCTTGGTTTTCTATGCACAGATTTTAAGAAAAAAGTTTCTGGAGCACAAGTGCATAGTACATATTCATTGYACTGTACTGAATTTGATTACACTGTGCCAGCTGCACATTTACCAATAAGGTAGACATATAAAAAAACAGAGGTGTAGGATAGTGCATGAGGTGTAGGATTTTTTTTGTACTGTTTGTTATCTCACTACAATTCTTTCTACTGCATTCTAGCATTTCTAGCTTAAAACAACATTGTTTTAAACAGAGGGATGAAATAGAGGCAGAATAGTTAGGATAGTTACCAGGGGAAGAAAACTGAGGGATAAGGACTGGGCATGAAGCATATCAGGACATGTGGAGATAAGCTATAGGTACAAGGACCTGTTTAAATAGTCTCCACTCYTTTATCCACAGTGCTTACAAAACTCTACTGGATTGACAGGGCTCCAATACACATGTAGGAGCAGAAGATCAGGTGCTTGTGATAATGTTTTTGTCAAAACCAGAGATATCCATGGATAACCAGGTCCATGTGCTTGTTGTTTAAATGCCAGCCATTGTTCATTAGGTACAGGATCCCTCTTGTGAGCCTGGACAGAGAATCCAGGCAGCATCAAAGGCTTTTTTGTGCTATGTGCAATAGAAATAACAGTGAGGAAAAAAAAAAACACCCCTTCCCTAGGTGGCTCACAGTTTGATAAAAAAACTACAAGGAAGTAACAAATAATTCACTGAAGAGTTGGACTTGACCCTTGTGTGTCCTTTCAACTCAGGATATTCTATGATTCTATGAACTGTGTGAGTAAAAATGAAAAGGATGAGAAAGTCAGGAGAGCAGCTGGTCACACAAACATCTGCACTTAGGGCTCTYAAAACAAAAACCAGCTCTTTCTCTTCCAATTTTATAACTATTTTTATTTCACTTGACAAGTATCAAAACAAATCAGTGGAGGGGGGACCCCCTCTTAGGGGATTTTTCTAGTGGGCTACCCAGGAATCACTCCAGGTCTCAGTGCTTTTCMGAGCTGCTGGAAAAATTTCAAACAAGATACATACTACAATTGTATGTAGTTGTACCAGAGCCACATGGTTTAACATGCCTGAACACACTGTTAGGAGCAAAGACCACTGGTTATCTCCTTTGACTCCACATTTTCTGCCAGTGTCACTCCTCTCCTAAATGCTGTGCACCATGTTGCATGCATGACCAATGCAGAGACTCCCTTGCAGAAGAAAGTCAGGCAGACAGGGAATGATATTTTCCTCCTGTGGACAGCATTAGTGAAATGTTGCAGCCATTTCCACTGCCATGCTCCAGAAATGATGTTTACCACAACATTTCATGTGAACTCAGAAACTCACATGTAATAGCTGGAGAGATTATCTCAGACCAGWTATCTAAGAGAAAATTAAGGGGTGACAACTCAAAACTGTAGCTGATAAAGGTACTTAAGCATAAAATTGAGGATGTTAAGACATCGCTGGTGAGGTTGCAAGGTTAAATCTCTTCAACTGATGAACCTTTGGAACAATTTACTTACTGGTGCAGTGATTTCTCCATCACTGAACTCTTAACATGATGCTGAATCTTCTTAAAGCCAAGCTATAGCCCAAAGAAATACTGTGAAACAGAACTATCATGGAAGCGATCACACCCAGAWACTACTTTTTAGTCTTCAACACCTATGAATTACTATAATTTCCTTTATAAATTAACCTCATTCTTCTGGGCGTCATCAAATCCATCATGAAACTTCAAAACTGGATTTGAAGGCAACATGCAGATACAACAAAGCAGCAATGCTAATGTGAAAAAAACATAGCCCRCCCCAACTCTAGAGCAGGAGAAATGCACCAGCAATCAAAACAGGGAGAAAAATGGGAGGAGAGAAAAAAAAAAAGTTTTTCATCCCTGCAAACACAAGCCACCTTTCCAGCTGTGTACAAGCTGAAAGAACAAGAAGAAGGAAAGACATACATTCATACACTTTATTTAGAAAGTTCTGTTTCATTGTAATGACTTTTCCTTATCCGGGCTCTAGCACATTAAGACTGAGTAGGTATGGCACTTCAGTTCTAGGACAGACTGCTAATGCACCGTTTTTCTAGCATACAGCTCTGGTTGGTTAGTAAAGTTTTACCTGTGGCTTCTCTTCATTTGGGCAGAGAAAGTTGAAGTAGCAGGAACAGATACAAGTATCTGTATTGCGAACAGGCATTGACAGCTGAGGCACGCTCTTCTCAGAGACTCTTCTTCCACTGCAGTTACCTCATGTCAGCTGCAGAAATTGCAGGACTTGACAGAAGAGTTTGCTATTTTGTTACCCCTCTTCAGGGAGAAAGGTGTATTACAGAAACAAGTGTTTGTAGTTCTTAAGTGTTTCATATATTTTAACAGACTTGAGTATCTTAAATACTTAATTTTATTTATTGTACATCATTGTGGTTTTTAACTCATTCTACATCTATGTCATTATTCTATGAAGATCTGAGTCCTAGCAGGACTGAAAATACCACCACATAAAAAAGCTTCTKCTATACTGACAGAATAATTTGCATTTCCCTGTCCAACAATTTGAAACTACTTTCTCATAAAAATACTTATTCTTTAAAAGATTTGCTCACTTCAATCTTACAAGATTCCTGAGATAGTGGGCACTTGTTTTTTTGACATTGCCCTAAATATTTGGCCAAAAATAGTGCAAGTACTATTGATGCAAACAGGAAGCTTGTTGTTATARAAGGTTTTATTGTGTCCATCTGAGTAAAACCTTCTTTTCCATTCTGGTGACAGTCCATCACCACCCATGTCAGACAGTGACATCTGGGACAGTGCCAGCTGTGCCAGCTGTGGCTGAGCGCTGTTGAATGTCTGTCTCTGATGGGGYATCTGTCGGATGTGACTGCTCCCAAGCCCCAGACTTCACTGCATGCACTGCGTAGTTCAGGCTCGTGCTCTCCATCCAGCTCCAGGAGCCCGAGAGCGGATTATACAACATCCCATTCACGGTCTTGACTGAAAAGCCATCTAGGAAAAAAAGAAACCTTATAAAGCAACTGATGTTCTTAAATATTGTAAGTCGTTCCAAATCAAGCTCTGTAGAACAGCAAGTGAGAAACATGCTTCTGCCTCTGGGCTGGGGAGGAAGCTGGCCTTTGTCAGACAYCCTCACATGCAGTGCCACTGGCATCGCTGGTGACAGCAGGTCCTGCTCCTGGCAGGGGCTGCAACAGCTCTGTGCCAGGCCCAGCACCACCAGCAGCTACAGGGCTCTGCTGGAAACCCCAGCCTCACACCTCCACATCTGGGTGACTGGTAAGGTTTTCTGTASGTGGAGACATGCTGCAGACTGGCATCACACGCTCCAAAATCAAAATCTGAGTACATCTTTGGAAGGATTCTGCAGATTCCCTTCTGGGATGGAAAAATCTAAGAAAAAGGCACAGGAATGCCATCAAGGACTCAGTGCAAATAAAGAGCGATTTATCACTCCTGGCTGAGTAGCATTCAGTTCACAGCATGGATTACTGTGTCCCAGCACGATACAGGATGGAAGGCAGAAAACAAACACCCTATCGAAGTAAATCCCTTCACCTGCTTCTCCTTCCAAAGGAAGAACTGAAAGAACTACCAGTATGTGAACCAGTATTAGTCATATTCCTTATGGCATCACTGCAAAGTGCCAGGAAAAGACCTTGCCAAGAGAATAGCTCCACTCATACCTGAGCCTCTTTGCAGTGAACTAGAACAAAGTGAAATATTTGGTGAGAGGGCTTTAAAACATCTGCAGCGAAGAAGGGCAATAGGCAGAAGTCTTCCCAGCTCAGTGCTTTGTCTATTTTAAAAGCAAACAAACCAGGGTAATTCAATTAGAAATAAGTAAAATCAGTATCACAGAGTTGCTCAAGAACTGTCTAATGAATCTGTGGTRGGTTTCATGTTCACATTTTGGAAGAAATCTTTTAGTAACATAATATGAATAGAGAACATGGTGCAGCAAACCAAAAATAAAAAGGCCTYCTCCCAAAGGAAAGGAAACAAACAATGCAATGGCAGCAATGCAGCCCCAGAGTGCCAACGCAGTTATTTCCTCAAACCTGACCTAAAGCACATGGACCACTTCAGAGCATACATTCTGTCACCAGAACACAATGGAAAACATTGGACTTTTTTTTATTTAGTCTATTAAACAGAGGACAGCTGCAACAGTGATTTCATTCAAGTAATCACTGCATTCTCAGGATTCCACTTAATTTATTTTGTGCAGAAAGCAGCAGTGTCTTTAAACCAGGGATCGTACCCTTAATATACGATGGTTAAGTCAAGCAGAAAAAGCTGTGTATTGTTGCTAGCACTCGCCCCGCCTAACTTATCCTCTTCTCATTTCTACAGAGACCATTCAGATAGATATCTCTGCATTCCCACCATCTGGCCGGAAACTTACATGATTCCAGGATGCGCTCCAGCTCTTCAGGGGGAACAAACTTCTCCCACTCATGTGTTCCTTCTGGTACAATGTCCATTATTTTTTCTGCAACCACAATTCCCAGGATATAGGACAATTGTGTTTTATTGATGGTTGTAATGAATAAAGAACCTTCAGGCTAATTAAAATATTAAAATGTTCAATTAGAAGAATTTTTTTTTTAATTGTAAATTCAGTCACATTAAGACAGATAATTTGTCTATGTCAGTCTACACAATGCAAATATAAGTAATTTCATCCCAGGACAGATATTTATGAGTATAGCATGTTAATACAAGAAAGAATATAATGTTCTAACAGTATGACTCAGGAGTCTTCAAAGAATCAACATAATCAGATCTTGGGTGGCCTAGCACCAATTTTCTAGCTCAAAGAACACCTAGAAAAGTCACTTAAAAGGTTTCCTGCCCAGAAAATGGATAAATAAAAGATATTAAAGCATATACAATACCTATTGTTAAAAAAAACAAACCCCACAAAAAAAACCCATGAAGAAAAAAATCAAAACARAACCACAAACCACTTTTTTAATTGAAACCAAAGTAAAATGTGAAATGCTTCCTTAATTTTTGAGAATGCTGAATGCCATGCCATGCTTGTTTTAATAATTACATGGACAAAGAAACAAAGCCAGAAACAAATTCTAAGTCCTTAAAGGACTGTTTGTTAGAAGTAAGGGATAATTTCTTTGTCCCCTAACAGGCTAAGAATTAATAGYGCATTCCACTGAAATAATTATATTTCTTCTGATGACCAGAAAGAGATTAAAGAAAAGCTGCCACTTGTGTACTGAGCCTACCATCYATYTTTGCAAATGAACTAATATCAAGAWGAATAACTACCTCATTATCTCCGAAGCCTAACTAGGAACCCTTAAAAGCAATCCAGGATCTTATCTGATGTGATGCTAGTGCTGGAATAAAATTCTGTGTTAGAAACATCATTACAGAGTTCYCATGCAGTCTGAGGCACAGCTGTCCATCCACAGCAGCACTGCCACATTTTGTCACACCTGCATGAAATGAGATGCAACCAGATTTCTTAAGGTTCTGACAGAATGCAACCCTGCAATGCTAGGTAATGCTTAACACTTTTCTGAGGCTGAATTGGGGAAATAAATTACCCCTAACTTTAGTTACTGAAGTTGGGAAGACGTATTTGCATAATTGAAGAGTGGAAGGCACTTCTAGAACATGTTTCAGACACAGTGAAGAAATGTGTGCAGATGTGTTTTCATACTCCTTTTTAAAAACCACAATAATAAAAGAGAATAAAAATTCCCAATAATGAAAGCAACTCTCTTACCTTTAACACCTGAGAGCAACACTTGATAAACGTTTCAAGGTCAGCCACATGCTCCACTACTTCAGAAGCTACAATTACATCAAAGGTTTCCATAGACTCTTCCACAATCTCCTCCAGTGAACTGGACTTGTACTGTATTCTCTTGGCCAGGATGGGATCAAATGACTTGTGCCGATCYGCTGTTCTAATGTTGTCCTCCACAGGATCAATTCCAGTAACTGAAGCTCCCAGTCTACCTAAGGGCTAATAAAAAAGAGTGTAATTTATTCTCAGCATGAAAACAATTTACTTAAAGGTTTTTGAGACTTTGCAATGTACATACAAGATGCAGAAAGCATTCATCAGAGAACAAGACAAACAACAATAAATGATGAGCTCTGATCTGGCAGTTTTATTTTAAACGTTTATTAAAGCAAAAACACCATTAGACTTGGGAGAGGTGGTGCTAATATAAAATTATATTCTGGACTATACACACATGCAAATTGTCTTTTAAAAATAATTTGTTCTGAATCCATTTTGTTACACCAAATAAAGATTTCTTCCACTACTACTCTTTGATAAAGGAAAAACAAAGGGGGAAAATCAACACAGTAATTAAAGGGGGGAAAACAATGCCATATTTAATTACTGTCATTACTTTCTTCAACATCCACCTGTAATGGTAAATCCTCATATCTTTTTAATGGTTACTTAATATATGATTATCTCTGGGACTTTCTCACTGCTGAGAACTAAACACTGATGTTTACTAGGATAGCATCAGCCTTGGCTGTCACTCAGGTTTCTCCAGTGTCTTCTTACTCCAAGGTTAACACCTCAGTCATCACCTCTTTTGAAACTGAAACAGGCTGCAGAACATGACCACATGTATGATATTCCAACCTGAAATTCACCGGTTGTTCAGCCTGAGAAGGTGATGTGGCACACCCGTTTTGCCAGCATTGTTGGAGAGACCCTTYTCACAAGACAAGATTTTGCTCAAAAGAGAAAAATAAAAGAAAGAAAACATGGGAGAGATTCAGGTCCTCTTGTAACACCTCACTTCAGATGCTGATGAAGTTCCCAGAGTAAGTCAGCCAGATATGTAACCCTAAATTCACAAACCATCCCTAGTCTGCTGATGGGACACAGCACTGTTCAGAGCCTGTGTGGAGAGTGTTCCACCACAAACAGTAACTTCTCAGCCCCAAGTTTGTGCAGACTTCTCTAGAAGCAGCTGTAACATCAGCCCCTGTACCACAGGAATCTCTACTGACACAAGAGAGCAATGTCTTGGGTGCTTGTGGTTATTCCATGCATTTCCCATGAGATCAAATCAAAGGTGAGAATCCCCACCCTCATGCAAAAAACTGAAGATAAGCAATTCAAAGAAATGAATGCCTAAGGACAAGTTTATAACAAGAATTACTTATTTGATAGTGAGGATGTAGTGAATCAAAGTATTCATGCCAAGACTCATAAAGAAAAAAAAAGAAAACTAAAGAAAGAAATACTCAAGGACTTTTTCATCTTTCRTCCCCTCACCTTTTCTTTATAGTGCTTGAAATCTTGTTTTCCTGATGAACCTCAGAATTTTAGAATTTCTCATTACCATCTCCCTCATTCCSTGTAAACCACCACCACTGTGCTAGMCAAATAATCYAAGGGCTTTACCAGAGTGCACTGCACTCTACTTAGTAACTAATACAACATAGAAAAGGAACTCCTTGGAGGATTTGAAATTAAGCAGTACAATCAGTACAGCAATTAAAATACTTTGCATGTTTTCTACCAAGRAAACACAGAGCACACTGTTTCTTACCTCACTGAGCAGTCCTCCACCACAGCCCACGTCAAGAATCTTGATTCCAGAAAGTGGACTTCCCAGATGATAATTACTACTCATGCTCAACAGACTATCTCTGAAAGAAAAGTGGTGTGATTAAGATCGAATCCAGAAGGTGCTTTAGTAGATACAATATGTAATTATCTTAAATACTGGCAAYTGGTTTTCTTTTACAATATTTTCCGAGGTTATGAATTATTATGAAGTATTAAAAAAATGTTTTCAAAATCATACCTAATAAATGGCACTCTAATATCATTCATAGAATGAAGGGCTGCATATTCTCCTTCTTCATCCCACCATTTATGTGCAAGGAGCTGGAATTTTTTCATTTCCTTTGAATCCACTGATGAGTGTGAAGTGCTGAAAGGTCTCTTCACAGTGAACCTAAGTAATGAAAGCTAATTGTCATCAAACCAATATCACTATTTCATGTCAGCTGAAATATGGGAAAAACAAATACCGCATCAGAAAATGCAAAAAGGTAAAACTCTTGCTCCTTTAGAGACTCMAACTATACTTGTTTAGTATCGTACAGATATAATACACTGTATGGGTAACGCATCTTCCCAAGCAGATGGCTGCATGCCTGTATTTTTTGAGTTGGTAATTAGTAAAACAAGAATGGGCCACAACAAACATTTAAACGTGTGAGATATAAAAATGGCTCCACATGACACTGTCACGAAGACAAATTAAATTGTTACAGAAAAGGGTAGTCGTTATCACACAGGATTATTTTAGATACACTACTTACGTGCTGCTTTTCACTTCAGCCAGAGTGACAGGCAAGATACTACTGGATTTCAGTTGTATTTTCCTGTTGTAGTCCTGAAGAATATTTCTCAGACCTGTCTGAAAAGACAGATCAGCATGGTCATCTGCATAAACAAAAGACAGACAAATGGAAAACATCAGCTTTRCAAGAACTCAGCAGCAAAACACATAGTAACAGTGCTGCACTAGCACAATACTTTGCACACTCACTCACTATTGTACTTAGAGAGTCGAGGATTAAATAAAAGAATGTATGCTAGTTCACCACCCCCGTACTCCTCAAATGATGTACAATGCCATGTTTCAGACTGAATGGAAAAGAACTTTTTAYGCAACTGAAATATTTCAGTTAGGGTGCATTTCCCCAAAATGTTTACTCTGACCATAAGCTGTGCACACAYCAAAACATACAGCAGCACTGGCTTTATTATGTATTGGAATGAGAAATATACAGAAACACACTCATTTTGCATTGTACAAACTGATAAGGATACCCAAGCAAAAAAACCCTCACGGACGGTGCACAGACAGGCCACGAACACCATCCTGCAATCGACTCCTGCTTGGACGACGAAGGGCTCTCCCTAGCCCAGCGAACACTCGCTCACACAAACAGCCGCTGTCTGGTCACCAAGAGCCCCCGAATCCCAGCAATGCCTCACTGTACCCAGAGTAAACCACCCCTTGAAGAAGRTTTTAGGCCGGAGTGAGCGATCTATACACCGCGAGCCTGCAAAGGAGGCGGTAGGGGAACACCACTTTCCCAACGGGCCGACACTGAATGACTGGGGATGCCATGGGACGCGGCCGGGATCTGCCGGACACACGCGGGGCCGCCGCCGGCGGCAGGTTTGCGGGGCCCGTCTGCGGCGGAGCCGGCCGAGCGAAGCCCCGTTACACCGCCCCTGCCGCCGGCAGCGCCGGGGCTCTCCCGCCCGCTCTCCCGCCCCCGCCCAGCGCCCGCTCACCACCCGCAGCCCGCCGGAGCCGCAGGGCACGGCTGAGGGCTCGGGCCGCCCGGCAGCCCCACATCGCCGCGGCCGCCGCCGCTCTCGCCCCGCCCCGGTCCGCGGCCAGCACCGCCGGCTGTCTCGCTGGGCGGGCGCCGGGAAGGTTCCGCACGGCGCTGGGGCCGGTGCGAATGCCAGCCCCCACGGTGGTACTCGTCACCTGGAGCACGTCTGCTTAAAMGTGTGCCCCTTACTTTCGTGTCCTGGAACACGGAAACACCCGCAAGCAGAGACTCGTTCGGCTGACACAGTGACGAGCCCATAGCTTTCAATCCGTTTCATTCCCAAGAAACACACCGGGCCTGCAGGGGACGGCACAAAGTACGAGACTCCTCGCTTGGAGCAGGCTCGGCAGGGAAGCGGTGCCAGCAGCCGGCACTGCGCCGCTGCTGCGGCCTGGAGCAGAACTCCTTGGTTCCAACATGGCCAGGTCTGAGGCAGGCTTCCTCTTGGGAACTATCCAAGCTGGCTTGCCGCTGCCTCTGTCAGARGCTGCCGTGTCACGGGATGCAGACCAAGTCCAGGCTGTGGCCCAGGAGGAAGGCTGCCTTCCTYCCCTSCTCCCTCGCAGGCACTGCTGCCCAGGGCCCCGAACTGAGCTTCGGGTGAGCAGCCCTGGCTGTTCAGGGCTGACACACACAGCGAGCCTCTCCCTCAATGGGAGCTCCAGGATTTTCAAATCCCCGTGGTGAGCTAGTTTAACATGCTTAAAATGGAAAATAATTAAGGCAGTTTTTAAAAAGATTCGTTTTCTAACACTTTATTGAGCTGCAGGTCCAACAAGAAAGCCCAGTGAAGCCAAAGCTGGCTGGAAGGAAGCAGTGCAGAGCCAGGCAAAGGTAAGCCGGGAAAGCAGAGCTGACAGCACTCCTTGCCAGGCTGATGATCACACGCCGGGTTTCTGGCCTGGCTGTGCGGACACTGGCATCCGCAGGCAGGAGGCATGGCCTGCAAAAGCCAAGGGCAGGAGCATCCTCCAGGCTGCAGAAAGTTTGGAATGATATAACCAGCCCTGGTTTGACTTTCTCTTCCCTCTAGTGTCAGCCTGCTTTATTAACTGATCTTGTTTGGTGCTACAACCCTCACTGCTTGCAATCTGCCTGTTCATGGGTCTTCTGTAAATACAGTATATTTCATGTAGTGGTTGAAGTTTGGATTTTTTTCTTTTTAAAGCTAAATAAGGTCTGCTGAAAGGGCTTTACAAAACTTGTCTCAACAGCAATTAAATATATGGCAAACCTGCTTACTATATACCTGCCTCACTTTTGTACTCACCTGCTTTCTATCCAACAAAGCTTACACTGCACTAGAGTTAAGAATCATTAATAGCACCACAGAGCTGAAAAAAAGAGCTCCAACAAATCCTTTATAGAAGGCTAGAATGGTCTCCTTAAGAAACCAAACTAAGCCTTCCTTCAAAGCAGGCATGCGCACATTATTCAGCTTAGTACTTGTCATTCATTTAGCAAAGCAAACACAAAATCTGAGCGAGAGAGCCAAACCTTACATTGCCATTGCTTTTATATTTGTGATTTCAAAATCAATTACAAGGAATTAAAATACATGCACACTGGCAAGTATTCCACCTAACAGGATAAGATCATTTCAAACTAGAAGTAGCTATTCCATGACACAGAGCCTCAAAGACATAAGTTTTTGTTGTGTCATATTTCAAAACAAGTGTTATTGCTTGAGTCTTTAAAGTCAGAATATTTTTAACGAGCTACTCTTTTTTGACCAATCCATGGCYACAGCTAATTCTTGCTTTTCCATGGTGTGTCCGGCACCTTGGGGCCCATATGGACATTGGCTTGGTTGTATTCAGAACAATTTGCATGGAAATCATTGTTCMTTTGATTCCACACCATCCCTTATATATTAAAAGTTTCCAAGGGAAATGCCTCTAAATGTCATGTTGCTATATGACATTCAAAATCCTATGTATTGCTTTCCCRTAGTGCACTGAAATGTGTTTGCAGCATTCATTTAAAAATGACACTTTCCCGTTTTGTATGTATTTGGACATTTGAGGATCACTTCAGATATATGGAATTAAAAGAGCTGTTGATATTTCAGCCTTTTCTGGTGAAAGACATTCCTAAGAGAGTTTTCAAAGCTCACAGAAGTCCAGTGCATGTGATGCTGACAAGAGTACCAACATGTATTTGATTACTCAGTGATGAGTAGGCCGTTACAGTAAAATTTCTGAAACAGTTAAATACAGAGATCGTATGCTCTTTTTATTGGCATACAGTCACTACCCATATAAGTGCATTTGTGTCAAAAAAATAATTTTCATATTTACAGGAAGTGACAGAATTCCAGTTGTTGGCAGAGTATATAAAGCTTTTCATACACAATCTTTTTTATTATTAGACASAGAATATAAAATCTGAACTGAAAATCAAATTCAATGCATCTTGGAAACTGTATTCCTCAACAGCTTTTCTTATTTCTAGTTTCTTTTTGTCTGTCACCAGACATCGTTCTAGGACATCTGAACTGTTATGCTACTTTTACAAATATTCCTCACTCTTACCCAGAGCCAAGAGTGTTGTGAGTTTGGATCAATACATAGCTATTTATATTTCTACCATTGCAAGTAAAAGTCATGTGTTGTAAATTATGCGTTATTTTGCTAATAAATATGGCTGCTTACTCTGTGTGAAAATATATAATTGAGGGGGTGTTATAATTTATAACTGATTATTTATCTGTAACAGTGTTTTGATAAACATGCAYGTATTCACTAGCTTGCTTATTAAACACATTTTAACTGATGCAGTTTATTTCTGCATCTTATTTATGAAAAAAATTACAGTGGAAAAAAGCTGCATAGCTGAATTCTGATTTAGTTAAGTGGATTAATCTGTTCATTAAGACATGCTTTGCAAGTTGCCTGTACTAGAATAATTTTTTCTTAGATGATACAGCCAATCAAAAGGAACTTACTTTGATGTTAAGCCTTTTGCCTTTTTCACAACTGGTGTCATACCATCCCTTTCAGAAAGAACAGATCTCTCCCTAAATTAATGTTCTTCTGTAGCAGTCACTGGCCTAGAGTTGGGTATTGTTGCTTTGTTTTTACTATTTCACACTCTTGTTTCTAACAGCAATAGTCAATTTCTTAAGTAGGAACTCAATGACCTTTCTTTATGGTAATATTAAAATCAAAAATTTAGTGACATTGCTAATACATCAATGTATTAGCTTTACAGGAGTCACAATTCTTGTCGCACTAAGAAAAAAACACCTTGAATATCCACTATACATTTAATGCACATGCCAAAATGTAAAGTTAACCTACTGCCAGTTTTCCGATGTGTAGTGAGTGACATTTATAAATGCATTTCATAAAAACATCTAAAATTCTGAGACGTGTAATATCCCTGAACATCCAAAGATCTCTCTGAAAACTGGGTGAGGAATATAGTTCCAGAGCTTAAGACTGCCACATGAGATCAGTTAGTCCCACATATTCCTAATGGGGTTCAGTCTGTTTAAGTATAGCTTGTATTACAGTGACCCATATTTTACACACACAGCATTTAGTACTTGCTAGACCCCSCAAAAAATATTAAAAATCTATTACACATGAAGAAAAATAAGATGTCTTTTCTCTGTTCTTCCACACCCCCAATAAAGTGTCATCATGTCCATGGATTACATGTTCTGACAAGTGTTTCACATTAAATCTTTTTCAAGTACTTTAAAATTTTGTTATACCAAAACAGCTGCCTCTTCTTTTTTTAAAGTACTTTCTACCATTTAACACAAAATTCAGGTGCAAGAATTTTAAACAAAAAATGAACTAAAGAGCTTTATTGACATCACAGTACATTCAATAGTAATTTTAAGAACATTACAGCTGAAAGAGAATGGCCTGTTTTATAGTCTTAATAAGCACTACCGTTTTTGAAAAAATGTAATACAAAGAAATCCTATTAGGTATTTAATTCTGAGCAGCATTTGGAAAAAATACACCTATTTACAGATAAAAAAAGGATTCTGGTTTCACCTACATAGCCACAATGTGCCTCTATAATGAGACAAGCCTTTTATAACTCATGGAATTTTTAAATGTCATAGCACTGGTGCCATAAATTCCTCAGCGTTTACGACGAAGAGGAGTTGCTGATCTGAAAAATAAAGGAAAAGGGGGAAAAAGTTAATTGGAAAAAATAAAAGACCCCCAAACCCACACACACTTTAGGCTTAGTAATTAATAGTTTTAAAAGATTTTCCAAAGTTATTTTTGCCTAAGACAAAAAGTTTAATAAATACCATACTTTATTAAAAAAGTTCATATGTCGTACACATGAAGATGAATATAAAAAAACTTTAAAAAGTCAGACAAAATACTTAAAAAGTATACTACCTTGATCGTGACTTAGACTTGTGTTTGCGGCTTGCCTTCTTACCAGACCTTTGAGATTTCTCCATGGAGCATGACCGAATATGCTTCGATTTCTTAGCCTTCTTTTCTTTACTGCTTCCTGGTGATTCAGAACTACTCCTTGCACTAGATTCAGAGCCTGATCGTTTTTTGCTATCTTTGGTAGTAATTTTTTTGCTTTCTTGTCTGGAATCCTGTCTTATTATTTTCACACATATTGAATCACTGCGAGAGAAAGTTCTTTCGCTATCTCTTTTTCTCTTTAATCTACTGTCATCATGATTGCCAGCCTTACTTTCTTTTTCCTCTTTTTTGGGCTTATCTTTTCTTTTTTCCTGATCTTTCTCCCTTTCTCTATTCTTTTTTCTGTCTTTATCTACACCTCCACCCTGCTCTTTCTTCCTTTCTTGATCTTTACCCTCACTTTTATGTTTGTGCCTATTTCCAGTAGGGCTTCTACGCTGGTCCTCGGCTTTACGCCTGTCCCTGCTCCTGCTGCGGCTCGCACGGTTGGCTCGCCGGTCTCTTGAGCRGCTGCCACTTCTACGCCTATCCCAGCTTCTCTCTCTTGAAGGACTCCGATTTCTCCGCCTCTCCCCCCTTTCAGCACTATGATTTCTACTAGATCTTCTCCTTTCCCTTATTTTCTCCCTGCTCCTACTCCTCTCTCTCCTGTTTCTGTGGGAGTAACTCCTGCTTCTACTGCGCCTAACCTTATGTGATGGAGTCCTACTGCGACTGTGTCTCTTCTTCCTTTTGGGAGAGGAAGAACGTGAAGAGCTGCGACTACTACCTGAGCTAGTGCTATAGGATGAACTGGAKACTGTGCTGCTACTGCTACTGCTCCTGCTATTGCTGCTGCTGCTACCACTGCTAGAGCTTCTTGACCCACTCCTTCCTGTCCTCTCTTTACCCTCTTTCTTGAGCTCTGTGTCAGGTGCAATTACATTTGGAGATCTTTTCTTTTCATGAACCATATCTGCTTCAATTTCTTTTGCCTCCTGTGATGTTAAGTTACTATTTTGTTCTTTGTTGAGAAATTCATTCATCTCTTTTGAAACTTTTTCATTTTGTAGCTTTTCTTCTGAAAAAACAAGTACACAGAAGATGCAATTAATTTGGAGCAGAATGTCAGTAATTTCCACCCCATTACTTTGACAAAACCAAATTTCCAAGCACCTTTCATAATACTTATAATTAAAACACTGCCACCATACCAACTACTTACCAAACCCTCATTTTATTTCCTTGTGATTCTAGAAAAATGGTCCTCTTGGGTTTAGAAAAAGTGTAGAGCCCAGATATTTTTAGAAGTTCGTGATGTCATTTCATGTTTCAGTGGTTTAAGATTAAGTTCTCAAACAAATATCCTGGAACACAGGAACTCCCGAATTCATCTATACTCAAAACCTTTTCCTTTTGCAACCTTTCTGCACACCTAATTGTCACCTTCTTTCTACAACACTCCTCTACAAGTACTACTGCTTTCTTCCTGCCTTTCTCTCAGCCTTATTCATCTGGGTTTGAGGATTACTGTCTGGTCTGAAGCAGTTGTATTTCTCCATAGTGAGACCCTCAGAGCATTTTCCTGAAGTTTCCAAAATAAAAATTTCTATTCAAGCTAGGATCCTTTGCATCACTGGCCAACTTTATCTCCCCATTTTCAATTGAACCCAGAAAAAATAACTGACATACAACATTTTTAGCCCTAAAATGGCCTTTTGATGTGGGGCATCATTTCCTGMGTTAATTTTGGGAATAAAACTGCATCCAGAAACCCATAGTGATCCAAATGGCAACTGATAGTCAAATTTAAGCCAGAAAACAATTCCAGCTGGTTATTAGGCAATACAAGCAGAAGCCAGTGTATGTTAGAAGATGCTGTAATGCCCATTAGAAATCTTCTGCCTTTCCAAAACAAATGAGACTCTGCATTAGCATTCTTCAGTATTTTGCATGTRTAGAATCAGCTGCTTTACACTATATGTGTACTTCTGCAAACCCATAAACATGTCTCCACATTGACATCTGGCTTCCTTAGTATTTACATATACTAAGTAGTAAACTTTATACAGCAGCACAATAAGAAGACATTATTGACGTGATTTACCTTCTAGCTGTTTTTCTAGTAGTAGTTGCTGTTCTCTCTCTTTTCTCCAAAACGCTTCCTGTTTTTGCCTTATTCTGTGTCGTAATTCCTCATCATCAGTATCAGATGATTCAGAGCCTCTGTCACTCCTCTCATCTTCACTGTCTCCTGATCCATAACCACCCAGTCCACCTGCGTGCATAAAGTCCAGTCTATCACGAGGAAAGATTAAGCTTTGTTCTTAATACTTCTGTGAGGCAAAGAGGACAGTAACACTGCCCTTCCTTCACTTCCTTGTCTCTGAAGAAGTCACTTTTTTCTGGTAAGTGCCAGTGTTGTTTGCCAGTGTGTTCAAGGCCCCTSTATCTGTATTGATGCTCACTGTCTGGTTCTACTCCTTCTGGAACAGCTTGTCTATTTTCAGCAAGCAACCACTGTGACCATGGTACTTTTTTCCATGGTATGGAAAGGCAAAAAAGCTCCCTGTGGAGACTGTAACAGTGCCTGCCTCTGTATCAGCAACCAGACAGAAAATGCATGGGATCTTTCCCACAAGATATCTCTGAAATTACTTCAGCTGCCTCCATAGTCCAAGGCTACAGAAATTCTGAATGCCATTATCATTTTTTTCATATGATTTAGAAAACACTGCACTTTGAAATGTATGGAGATGGAATAAAAATATACTTTCTTCTCCTCCAGAGGTATTATTAACTATTGGACTGATAAGGATAAAGTCAATTTAAACATCTGACATGGATTGCTTTCAGTCTAAGGTCCTTAGGATCTCTACTGAGTTAGTTCTGAAACATGAATACTTGTGATGATAACATTCAATTAAATTCATCAATATTCCATGTAACGAACATATAACTGATCACTGACACTGCTGCAGTATGCTTTAGATGATAAAAATTATGTTGGGAAAAATCTCTTGCAGTTGTGTCTCAAGCTGGAATTTCAATTGCTCTTTCCTGTGCTGTTTCGGGTAGTATATTATATGGGAGCCTTTGTGCTTAAGTAGCTTTTCAATAGAATAATAATTAAAAAGATTATAATATTTTTATTTACAGACATTCACATTACTCTTCTATCAACTTTGCTGTCTGGTTTGGATGGATCAAAACAGAAGAAAAATATGAAATAATATTCCTCTCTTTGAAGTCTGCAGAGTGCTTCTGAAATTATCATACTTTGAGAAGTAAATTTATTTAAAATTTTTATGTATTTTCAAAATAAGGGCAAGATTCTCATATACTAAATCACACTGCCTAGTCCTTTACTCCAGCAATTATCCCACTTACATATCAGTAGGATCACCTGTGGAACAAACAAAGGTTCTGATAATCACAAAGTTATCAGAAAGTGACCCATACTCCCAGGCAATCAAAATCTAGTTTCAAAATGCAATTTCGAGAAATGCAARGCAAAAGTGAAACTCCCCCTTTAAGCCCTCTCAGAAATAAGGAACATACTTACCGAGTCCAGTGAGGGAAGCCAGTGCACTGGACTGTGCCAGCTGTTTTGCAGGAGCTTTGTATCACATCAACAACAGGAACAACATGTTAACACAAATAGCCACGATTTCATAGTCATGAGTCTATGGTATTGTTAAATCTACTACTATTGCTGTTCTTTGGAGGGAGAGAAGAAACATTAAAAATGCATCATCCATTTATAGCCACTTCTAGATTTTCTGACCATGAAGATTTAGAATTTAACTGCAAATTAACAGTGAACAGAAAAAACAAATATATACTCATAAATCACTTTCCAAGTTACAGCATCTGCACATAATTTTCAACTTCAGTAGTCACATATTTAGATTAACTCTGTTAYGTTAAAATAATTTGTTCTGTAAGTACAATACATGTTAACAGTGAAAGCAAATTAATTACTAATTGAGGACTCAAAGTTCATCTCTTTTCACTTCTGAACAGCTTTGAGATAAAGATGATAGTAGTAAGAAACAGCTACAACTCAAGAGCCATTGACACACAGGTACCGTTTTAACTGAAATGAATTGTATGAAAAAAATGGAATAACTCAAGTAACTCACAATACACTGCACAGGACGACAGTACATGATTACTGGATTTGAACTCTACCAAGTTGGATGCATTATACTGGAATTGTTCTTGAGGGAGAACTATGGAGGTTAAATGTTCTAGAGACATGCAAATACAGAATTTTCGCAGAAAATACTAAAAAGGAAAAAAAACCCCAAAACCCGGCATACCTTTAGTTGCTTTACGGTGAACATCTTTGGCCACATAATAGATTTCTTCATTTGTGACATCTAAGAGAATCTCTGTCAGCAGCATTTTTGTCAGCATCATCTGAATAAAATTGTGTATACAGTTAAAGGCCAAAACATCATTAATAAATTCTGCATTCAAATTATATCCATACAGCTTCACTTCTTTTAAAGACTATGAAAGTGGTCTCCTGCACATTTTATTTAMTGACTTCTTTCAAGAGAAGACTAATGACTGAAAAACCAAAGATGGAAACTGTTTAAATGTGACCTTATTTCACAACTTCCAAGTTTGTATTTTGACTGTGAACTGTATCTGCATGCATTGCACACAGCTATCCAGGGCACTCATCCTAATGTCTAAAATGATATAACAAATGAATATGTAGATCAGAAAAGTACTTAGGCTGATTACAATTTTCTTTCAAATAATAAAGAGCACATTTCTCACTGGTATGCTGCTGGTAAATATCATCAGATGTTACTTACATAACATTTTAACATTATAACATATATAACATTTTATTATTACATATTCACTACAAAAACTGAAATGGTGGTAACTAGTTCTCCAAGTTGTTTTTGTCTGGCCACATGCTTTACAAAAATATATTCATCAAACTTRGAATTCAGAGCCCTAATTAACAAGGATTCAGTTGTACAATTTGCATTAAACTGTATTCCAAAGTATGAAGGTTGTGCAGACACAGTGAAACTGTTCCTAATCTAGGATTTAGGTTTCTAGCATTTCCTTGCACGAATACATTTCCTAAATTTCCTTTCATGGGAACTGAGGTTGAAGCAGAGATTTGAGATGGGTGCATTTAATCACTAAAAGTTTCTAGATATGTGGTAAGTGAAGCAAAACCATGGAATTAATAAAGATCARTGTGAAGATCACAATTATTACATTCTTTCACCACAGTGTTAAAWGTGAGTTATATAACCTATATCCTTGTTTCTAAGAGAAAGAGCATTATGAAGAGACTGCAAATATAGCCCTGTCCTACTGTAAAATGTATACTGTATCTCTATTGACAGTATCAGGAATAGAAAAAGTGATTTACTTCATGATTTACTTTCCRAAAAATATGAGCAGCTAAACAGAAATACTTAGTGAGAACTACATTATTAATACCATTTGATACTCCTTTTCTTCTTCTGTCATTTCTGGTTCACTTTGCTCCTCTTGAGGAGCTGGTGATGGACTCCTGCTGATTTTCCCAACACTTACAGCTTCTGTGTTTTCAGCATCTTCATCTTCCTCATCACTGTCCTACAACAACAGCATCATACATTTCAGGAAAAACTTAAATATCAAGCTCTTTAGTTTCTATGTGCAATTGTCAACTTCATTTATTTTGTACTGAAATCTGTATTTCAGTTATCATAAAACAATTTATTTTCTCCCTTCCTAAAAAATATGCAGGTACCTCTACCCACACACACTAAGAAAATACTTAGTTGTCAGTTCCCTGCCAGACATGTACTTTGAACTACAAACGAGATAACAGCTAAAAGTGAAAGCAATGCAAGGTTTCCTAAATTGACTCAGTTTAGCAAATACAGGTATCTGAATTTTTTTCAGCTGCTGATTTACAATTCTGACTCTCAAAGGCTCTGTATGTTTAAAAAAAGGCCATTTTTATCCTTATTTCTTTGCTACTACAAATCAAATTATATACCTCTACCTCTCAGCTATTAAAACCTTCAAACATCACGTAATTATCAACACAGCAGCAGCTTAACCTTACTTAAGGCAACAAAACCTTGTGTGAGGTAACCAGGAATAYAGTCTCTTCTTTGAAGGAACTAACAAGTTGATACCTTTCAAGAAATACAAACCTGAGCAAAAAACAAACCCTTCTACTTACAAATTTACTTTTCTGAGGTAACCGTGGGCCATCCCCTTCTTCAGCCTCCTCACTTTCCTTTTTTTCTTTTTTTGACATCTGTGAACGTTGCTGCTCCATTCTCTCTTTTTCCAATTTTTTCTGTTTTTCTCTTTCCATCTTTTCCAGGCCCTCACGAATCCAGGCAGGCAGAGTTCTACGCTTCACAGCATCTACATAAGCAAGGTTTACAGTTTTGCAAGATGAAAAAACCTTCCCCCCAAAAAAGGAACAAAAAAATCCCCCAAAACCAAGAAGGAGACCCCCTACCCCCATCAAAACAAGTCCCACATCTGATTGTGGGAAAAAAAACCCATTTACAATGGCTTTTTCTTTCCCTGCTCTTTTACTGTCTATTAAAAAGAAAGRAGTCTTCAAATGTGGGAATTCTTTATAAAACATAGCTTTTAGATTTTTTCATTAAGGAGTGGTTAACATGTACCAATCTGTGGAGGCTCCTGCTTCACAGGCATCGCAATAGGTGAACGYTGTCGATCTCTGAACGAGGGTCTTTCCCTTCGATTTTGAGTAGGTGCAGGAGGTGCTGGAGGACCTGGTGGCCCTGGTGGTCCTGGCTGCCAATAAGGTGGATGAAATCCACCTTGAGGTGGACCAAAAGCAGCCCCATGCTGAAAGAGTAATGCAGTTTATTTTTCTTCACATGGTAACACTAAATGCAGCATGTGAGCAAGTTGGTCTACAAATATCCATGCAAGTAGGAATCCACGATTTCTAGGCTACTGAGATCTCTCAATCCCTTTTACTGTGGTCCCCAAGAAACAAGTTTCCTTTAAATATTTAATCACTAAASTTAGACTTAGGTAGGGATACTTAACAAACCTGAAAAGGCCTCAACCAATCTCCTTTCACACTGTGTTAAACACCAAGCCCTATAATCACCATCTATCTCCATCAGATCCATGCCAGCTTAGCATCAGAGTATGCAGTCAAATGAAGAGTGTACAAAACTAAGATTTAAAAGTCTACCTGTGTTAGCAGTCTTAACTACAGCATGAGAACAAAAATTTAAAGTTCAGCCTTTTATTRCATAAGAATTTTGCACTGTGCACTTTCCAGTAATCCTTCACATACATTATTAATATAGCAGATTAAAAAATTAAATACACTAATATCCAATTTTAGTACAGATCCTGGGTTCTGGGCAAGCTGTATATAATCCAAAAGTCCTAAGTCTTGAGGTATGAGGAGACTGGTATGTCTTGAGGTATGAGAACAAAAACATGAGGAGTTTTTGTTCTAATATTCGTTGCCCAGAAGTGCCTGATGAAACTATTTAAGAGACTGTTTAGGAAAAAGGGTACAGCATCAAATAGTCTACTGAGTATTTAAGTCACTAGTGYTGAAGCACTCTCCACTACAATTTCAGGTTAAGCATCTCTCTTTCAGTCATTGCAAAACAGGTTTTCCGTAGTATTTAGAGAAGCTAATTTAAAGAGTTTGTCCCATGACAGTAAAAAAATTATCATGAGGTCATGTATTGGAAAATTATTGATTCACTATTTAATACTGCTGAACATAAGAATTATAAGAGAAAAATAACCAAGAAGATAAAAAATGGCCTAGAAAATTTTAAAAAACATTTCTGCCCATCTTCCTTTGTATTTGCTTAGGAACAAGAGGTAGGTTTTTAAACAGGTACAGTTTGTCATCTATATCAGGAGTTTTGAAAGAAAAATACTGAAAATAGAGGGAAGATCTGTGTAATGCACTGCTATCATTAGTGGTAAAACCACCTACATCTTTATTATGCTATACAACTTATATGCTAGAATGAAGAAAAAAGTGAATATGGATTTTTTTTTTAGAAATACCATTGTTTATTCAAAGAATCACAGTAGATAGATATGGAAAAGATCAATGGATCATCCAGTCTATCTCCCTGCAAATTCAGGACTTTCCTGTGGTACATTTTCTAGTGTATTTAAACATACCTTTCTGAACTTTATTTTTTTTGACTTCTCCTCCCTTTTTTTTTTTTTAAATACAAAACTACATGATGTTAACTTATATACTGGAACACAGTGTTTCATTTTTATATTGCAGACAACAGCCATTTCTCATACTACTATAGAAAAATAAAACCCTTTGGCCTCTGAACAGAACTGAAAACTCTAAAGTCTCTTCTGTGAAGTGTTTGGAAAAAATGTATCTTAGCAGATAACAGATTCTGTAGATGTTTGTAGAACTGAAGAATGAAAGTCGCCGCTAGATGATATTAGAGGAACACATCCACGGAAGGGACTCTGTGCGTCTACAATATTAAAGCAACAAATATGTTTCACCTGATAGTCAAACTGGTTCACTGGCCCCATTGCAAAGTTATCGGGAGGTCCCCCAAAGTTGTGATTGTTCTGGTTAAATATATGCCTGTTGTCAGGAGTAAATTCCCCACTATCCTGACTGTTGCTGTCTTCAGATGGAGGAACAATTTCCATTTGACCTGGGGTTGGAGTCATCCACTGCTGATCTGGAGGTGGGTGAGGGGGTTGGTGAGGCATTCCCCATTCTGTTTAGGATTTAGAATACAATTAAATACCAAGTTAGTATCATTTATATGAGTCACCAATCACTCAGTGTTCTTGTATTTATCATAAGGATCCTCAAAGCATCACTGATGATAAAGTAATGAAGAATTATCAATCTACAGACTGTATGMTAGATACTGTCTCAATTTCTTCAACTAAATGAAGGAAATACAAATAGCTGTAGCTGAACTAAAACTGGGGGGGGAGGGGGAAGAATTGAACAGGAACAGGAACAGACAGGCTATAAATTCATTTTCATAAATTCCTAGTGATAGTGAGTTCACCACAGGACGTAGAGATTGTTTAAACTGTTAAAAAATGCTCCTACTTCTCTACTTCAACCTTGAAAGCAAAGAGCTATTCTATGATTTTGCATAATAGACTTGAAATACCTATTATGGAAAACAAATGGTTTTGTAGGCAGCACAACCASTGAAACCTGTGCTCCAAAGGCTTGTGTCTTGATAATGGATGATTCCTCGGATTGTCCAATATCTAGCAGAAGTCTTAGCATAACTGTAGTAATAAGCCCTCAAACATCCGTTACAATTGGCTAACAGAGTGAAAAGGGTCTAAGGAATGAATTAATACCTCATGTGGCCATAATATTTTGATTGATTCCGTAAGAAGACAAAATTTAGGTGCACTATACAGATATGTATAGACCGTRACAGAACTGCCTTATAACTCTCATCAGTAACAGAATTAGTATCTGGGCTCTCAGTTTAATTCCTACCTTCCATCCAGTCCTTTAGTCCATTTTTTAAAATTTTAACTATCCTTCTTATCTGCATCATAATTTGATCCATTACTGTAGAAATTGAAAAGTGTTATCACAGCTCTTCTATTCTATTTACTCTACAGAAATATAACTAGAATACACTCTACCACAGAGAAAAGTTAAAAATCCCTACATGTGCCTACAATAACTTGTAGTCCAGTGCAGGCAGGTGAAACCTGATGGCTACTCCCTTTTATTATGCACAAACTGCCAATAATATATTAAGCCTACTTATATTAAATGTTGCATTTTAATAAATTTGAATATTGACAATGAAAACTGGGAGTTACTCTTTCAAACAACTAAAGGTATGAACAACCTTACCAACTTRGCTTACCAACTACCTTGTTTATACAGTTCMAATTGCTTTATAGTGGTGTCATAACTCAGCTTTCTTAGCAGAAGATAACCAGTTTTTATACCCTTTTTATTGCTAGTGGTATCTTACTAAATTTTAAAAAGAAAATTATTTTTTGGACAAAATTGAGGTTTTGAGGAACTTAATTAGAACAGAAAATAATCAATACTAACATAAGGGTCCACCCAACTTTCACTGACAATAACTGAAAAATGTTGACAATCAGATACCTAAGTTAAAAAGGGAAAATCCTAAGTATAGGAAACTTAATAAAAACCATATTTTTCACAGAATTTTGCTGATCTCCCTTTTYAAAGATTTTAAAGCACCCAAAGCCAGTACCTATCAGTTGTATTGTGAACTCATTCTACATGTCAAGATCATACCAGAAGCAGGTATTACACTACAGGAGAGGCAACAGTAGCTCTCCAAGTAGCAGCTGTGATTTATCAACTGGTAGTTTTGCTTTTTGAAGCCTGAGGGACAGGGCATCTTCACATCCTAAAATGTCTGACAAAAATAAAATGAAGAAACATCAAAAAATGGAAGGAACAGGAAGGGAAACAAACCTGGCTGCCACATTCTGTTGAAATTGGGATCCCCCTGAAAATTATTATGGTTGTTTGGACCAGACTCTATTCCTGAAATATCCTGTCCATTTGGCATCATTCCTTGTTGTTCCACTACATTCTGCTGCCCTGAGGCTTCTCGCTGAGCAATCCATGCTTGAGCTAATGCAGCCCAGTCAATTTGGCCTAAGATAAACARAGGAAGTTTAAAAGGTTAGAACTCACACTTCTGAGGTTTAACACTTTTCTTCTCAATTACAAGTATTATTGCTCAAGATAAATGGGCAACATTTACCCTCAGCAAGTAATGTGAGCACCATTAAAACTTCTTCACAGCATACAGTAAAAGAAACAAAACAAACGTCTTGCKGAAGTAAAGTTTCTATGCATATGTTCAAAATATCATAACGCAGACTATTTTACATTTATGTTAGCACTGCATGGGTGGTAGTAATGAACTTTTTTCATAAGTGAGCTGATTTTGACATCAGAAATAAATATACATATCCTTAAATTTTAAATTCACCAAGATTTGAGAGTAAGAAATATACAGTTAGAAAATGCTCTCTCTCATTTTTCCTTTACTGCCATTCCTACCAGTAAATAAACTGCACCCTCAGGCAAGAGCACTAGTCTTCTGCTTATTATCAAATCAGGAAAACTCTCCAATGAACTTAACAGAAATTAAAATGACAGTAAAACCAGCATGCCCGATCACTTTGCCTTAGTATTAAAGACACACCTGCAGTTTCATTGTCTATTTCTCTTGACATTTTGAATTGCTGTTACCTCATTCTCATTTTAAGATGTATTACCTTCTGCTCTTTAAAGTGTTTGGTGGTTTTGGTGAGGGAAAAAAATCCAAACAAGAGATCATGACTATCCCTGCTGTAACCTAAATGAAGCATCATATTAGTCTTCCAGTGAAGTTTTTTCTGTATATATATCTGTATTAGTACTTCTGCCACAYAGGTACTGAATAAAAAACATAGCTGTTCTCTCAAACAAAAGATTCAGTTTAGCTAAAGAACTGACAGGGATGTAGATTTGGTAAAAGTAAATGAGATATAAATGTTGATTTGTATGACTGGTAAAATGCTGATAATTTGTCTAGGATAACTCAGGTTTCTTGCCTATATTTCGCATATTATGTATTAACTCTGTGAAAATATTTTGAATCAATGCATCTTTTCTATGTTTTCTGTTTTTTCAGGAGAGCATCTTAAATGTATTAGCTTGAGAGCAGCTACAAAAGGCAACTATGAGTCATATTATGCAACAAAGATTCAAAAATTCCAATGACAACACATTAAAAGAAATAATCCACAAAGCTTTCTATATACTTACTTGGATCTTGCTGGTGCTGAAATGACTGCATCCACTGCTGTTGGTTCAAAGGCCATTGCTGCCAAGGTTGTCCACCTTGATCCCACATCTTTTAAGTCTTTATATAGTCTATATTTCAACTAAAAATAATAGTTGTATATTTAAATAGATGCCCACGAAATATCACATAACTGAAACTTACATAATTGCAGATATAGTTAAGCCTTGCAAAGCAAGCTGAAGCAATGCTGGCTTCATATTTTAAGCTGGAGGAAATGGTTCATCCTTTAGAGTAATATCTGAAAATATTACTGTAAGATTTCAGGAGTCTAGTATGCTTTCTCTGTATTTTCACAAAGAAATTAACTACAAAATTATGTTCAAGGAGAGATATGACAAGTTTTTAAGCAAGAACTCATCTGGCAATAAATGCAATTTAAAGTAAGTCAAAAAATAAAGGGTAACTTTGATATCTTTGCCTGCTTCCTAGAGAAAATATGTGTATTTCTCTACACAAGTGTCATGCAAGGCTGTTAAGCAAGACAAAAGTCACCAAATGGTAGAACACATTGTTAATGACTGCACAGGAGAACTGCACAAGTACAAGACAGTGCTCACATGCATTTTATACATTGTACAGATTCAATTTCTAAATATATTCCTTCAAATCTGAGAAAGAAAAMTAAATATGACCACACAATTACCACATTGTCCCTTAAGATCATGAGAAACCATTTTTGCCATGCTACCTATCCTCACTGGGCAGGCAGCAGCAGCCCTAGGTCTGGATGGCAGGCAGCAGAGCTCCTCAGCCTGCTTAGAGTGCGGCTCCAGGCCAGCTCTGTGTGAATTTGATGAGGCACAGAGGCCAGGCAGGAGTGCCTGTAATGGCACACCAGCTCCTTCCAGACACTGGTACCTCCAGCACACACCTAACCTGCTACATATGGAGAACCTGAGAGCAGCCACCTACACTGAACACTTTCTCTGAAGACAAAGATTAGGCACAGTTCTGGGAACACTTCACTCCAGAAGCTGTTCCCAAAAAACAGTGTGGGTAGGAATGCACTGACTGTGACTCCCTCTGCCTACCCAACTTGTTAAGAACTTCTCAACATGCTTCCCCCTCAATGAATACATCCTCATCAAATTTAACATACAATCCTTGAGYTCACACTATTAAAACATCAAGCATGTAGGTTGTTTCAAACACTCCAAACTTAAAAGAAAGAGAAAAATTTATTCCCTGAGGTCACAGGAGCAGCATACAGGACCCAGYTGTGGCTCACAGCCAAGTGCAAGACAGAATAGCAGAATAGAAAGCCTCTTTGCTTTAGAGCAAACTAGCTCAAAGCAGCCAGTGCCACTTGGGTGGCCAGCCAGGAGCAACCCCAGTGACTCTGAGGGAGCGGGAYACACATCCCAGAGACAGAGCCGGCTCTTGGCAGATGGACAAAGCAAATGGAGTGGAACCTGCTTGCAAAAGCATCTTGTGCTGCCCGCTTGCACGAGGCACTGCATGGCTGCATAGGAAGAGAGCACCACTCTACAAAAATGCACCACACAAAGAGCTGAACACATCAGGGGCATGCAGAGATGAACATAAGCTTGTATTTTGCATACTTCTGTCAAATTCAATCTTCTATCTGAAAAAAAAAATGTAGATAAACTTTGTTTTGAGACTGTTTACTTTCAAGACTGTACAAAAATGACATGTGCGGCTCTGAAACATTGAGTTGCAAATGCCTTTTGGGGGGGGGGGGGTTTCAAACAAGAGCAGATCAACTCTGGCAGTAGGAGGAGTATTAGGCAAAACCYTACCTAATACTTCATTATTTTCACTACCTTTTCTTGCCAAACTAAGTATGGAGATTTTTTCTCATTTCATGAATAGTTTTATGATATTCATACATGATGAACCTGCCCTTTTGTCTCCTTTTTGTTTTCGCACTTTTATCAGTACCTAGGAAATTAACTTTTTTGCACCAGTCGAATGCAAGAATGGATACTAATGTACTTAATGCAACATTTTAGCTCATCTCTTAGTCTAGCTCTCTGAGTATTCCTATATACATATTTCATACACTAGGCATGAGGAACTAACAGCAAATAGTATTTTCATCCTAAAATAAAAAAGGTGAATAACTGTTTCTTCTTTCCCTCAGTTCATCTTTCCATCCAGAATAAAAATGCTTTCAATTGTCAAAATAAACTTGTTTACTTCTTATAGTTGTAAGAATTGGGGTTCAAGACTACCACTGCACTGCACAGCCTCACGGTGCCACTCCATTTCTAGCTGTTAAATCCCACTAGCAATAATAAACACGGATTTCACTAATTCTGGTAGCACTYTTCTACCTCAACACATAGCATGTTGCAACAAGTTTGTGGAATTACACTAAAATAAACCCAGCAAAAGGTTTAATCTTTTTTCATGAATAATTTAAAAGACAAGTTTGCATCTAACTGAATGCAAAAAAAATACAGCTAAATATCAATTTCTCTTATGAAGGTGTAAAAATATTAAGAGCACTTCTATAAATTCAACTAAATTGGAATTTCCTACACACAGCTTTTACCTGATAGAATTACATGAGATTTATTTTTTTACTGGACTGGCTCTATCTGTCCTAAAATCTTAGGTATTTAGATGATTTAGATTTTTTATTATTATTTAGATTTTATTTATTTAGATAAGTAGATATTATTTAGATTTTTTTAAAATGTGTTCCAGCTAACACAATTATGTATCTATTTATCAATTGAAGTGGACACTTAGTATTCTGGCCTTTAATACTCTCATGCCTTGATCCTCACTATGGACAAACTGAAGCACTTGTTTAGATCATTAACAAGGTCTAAGGTAACAAATGCCTCCACATCTCAGTATAAGACAATAACTACCTTTTTATTTTACAAGGTATTCAAATAAATCTTGTGGGAAAGATAAACCACATTGCAGYTGTATCAACTGGCATCKGAAACGGTGACCAAGGGAYAGAGCAGACAGGCAGTGACCTCAGMCAGCAGCAGCATTCATTCATTTCCTGGCTACCCTGTCAGCAAGTTATTATGCCCTAGGMCACCAAGGCCAAGTCCACACTCCTAAGGGAAGCGGTGCTGAAGGACCCCACCAATTCCCATTAGAGAACCTCMCTGAGCCAGACCACCTGGCACTCTCTGGGCTGCTTCCAGCACCTTTCAGGTGTCRGCATGRACCTGGGACCCAACAGGCAGYAAGGRCATGTCCATTCTGGTTTGGAAGGTCAGAGGCTTTCACTCAGTGCCAGCTGGCTGCAGTGCCAGAATAAGAAGCACAGTTGGGTTTTAGTTCTTAGCATACATAGCTGCTTCTCCASTGCTCTGCAACATAATATGGCCCAGTCTTCAACTTGCCCTAGAGAGATTATAACACCTTATTACCGCTATTCTGGGGAGAGAAATCAGGTGGGGAAGTGCAAAGCAATAGGTCAAGGCATGGTGCTGGTTTCTATTTTGATACACAAMAGTATGACAAGACAGCAACAAGTGTAAAACCCTGAAGAACTTCTAAATTTGATTAATTCAATTTATGCCATTCAGAGCAGACTGATTTTAAAATCAATGCCATTTAAAACAGCTAATTTTAGTTCGTGAACTGTATTTGAAAGCTTTTAATTCTGTATTCAATTTGTACTTTTACTATTTTCCTAAAGAAATGTTGATTTTCATAGGTTGGCAACTATAAAACATGCTGCCTTTCAAGTACACAGTTTTATTACCAAATTCAGTGTAAAAACATTTTTTACTAATTAGAAATATGTACTATGCAAACATTTAAGCAATGACATCACTTTTTTATGCAACTGTACATGCAGAAGCTCTTTTTTAGATATGACGTGAAAACTGTCCAAAACTACTTTTTGTTTGTTTCAACTCATCTTCCTTATTGAGCAATGTTTGTTTTACAGAAACATGAATTGAATACAGAAGGAATAAGATTTGCACTTTAAAATGCTTATAAACATTATTTATTAACACAAACAAGCTAAAAGAGAAGATCACATGAATTCAAAAATTTTAGTATTGAAGACTAAAATTWTGTGGTTTAGTATTGAAGATTAAATGTGTGGCTCAGAGCCATTGAACAGAAGAGGCTGGTTCTAAGGCCTCTGACTAAATGTTGACCTGGAACATCATTTTCTGGGAAACAAGACTCATCTGCTTTGTAGAGCTCCACTTATGTTCCTGGAGTTTTTCCAAATTTTCACCAGCTGGTATAAGGTAAACATAAAAAAGGTACTTGACAGATTTTTTTTCATTTACTACAGAGAGGCTATGGACATTTAAAGATGGTTCATCTCCTTYAAAAATTATTTTGCCAAGCACTGCAGTGTCTAATGATTTCATCTGCTTTTATGTTTTAGAGGTAAAAAAACCCCTAGTTTTAGCTCTTCATTTTCAGTTGTCATGTTCTAAAAGATAACTAGAACAAGCACTTAGGCTATTCGATGCTACACTTTTTTTACATAAAGGCAATGTAACTTCRTATTCTGCTTGTGAAATTTTTTTGAGTATGAAAGGACTTGAAACAGAATCTCAGGATTGTCCTGTGGGACATCTCTGAAAGTTTTGTCCTAGTGATGGTATTTCAAAGACGTCAAAAATAAAAACAGACCAAGTCAAGTCATACAATAATAAACAAACCAGATGTGAGAATTACCAAAACAATACTTTTRAACCTCAGTGCCATAAACTGGAAAGGCTACCAACTACTTCAAAAAGAASTCACAAAACACAGTGGAGAAAATGTCGCCTGTTCTCAGTAATTTTAAAATTACTGCAAGGGATTCACCTCCAATACCGAGGTGGGGGAGGAGGAAACAAACCCACAACCAACAAACAATGCCTCTCACCCATCAAGCCAGTAACTTAAAAGGCTTGAAACAGCTGGAACCTCTTGTACTAATGTATGTGGCAAAAAATAACCATTATTTTCCTGAGACACAAGTCCTAATTAATAATGGAGAAAAGAGACTCAAAGTCATCTCCCCTCTAAGTAAAATCCGTATTGACTAGCACAGGATGCTACCACATGAATTATATGCAAGTTTTTATTTCTTACAAAGTTCCCCAACTAACATCACCTGAAAGAAAAGGC